CGTTACTTTTCCGTTCTACCGCAAACATGCATCGACCCTAACTACTGGAATGGGAACTTAACGCCGCTCATAAAAAAACACTAAATAACCCGTGGTGAGCCGAACTACGAATGCTATGATTTCTCATTCCAGGTGAAGATACGTAGGCACAATACAACGATGTCTTGGCGAGCAACCTTCCACCTTTTTCATTCGTAGTTTTTCGAACTACGTTGACTATGACTTTCCCATTGCGCACGAGAATACATAGGCCTAGGAAGGCAATGTACTATTGAGTCTCCTTTTGTTTTTTTCTTTCGTTCTTGTTTTTGTTTAGCAGTAGGCTTTAGATAACACACCCTTTGATTAGACAACAAGCATGGATCCTGTTGAGTACAATGGATGTGAGAGGGTGCTATATACCTTCCTCTCGTGTAATCAACTCTCAAACCCAGGATTTGGTTGCGAGACCATGTCTTCTCCCTTTTTGAGGTTTTCTTCGATCGTTTCTTTTTCCTGCGTCGAGATAAATAACGTTTGGTGGCGACTCTTCTATTTTTTTTGCCAGGTATTTTTCGCAGTTGCGACAATATGGTACAACTTTTCTTGTTGTTCCACTAAGCATCCTCTGCATCCTTACATTTATTGTACAAAACATCTCTTTATATATATTTCTTACAAAAATACACTATCCTAAAAATGTCGAAGCATCAAAGATCACAAAAATCACAAAGGGCTTCCTTTAGTGCTAATCGGTGATAATAATAATTTAATTGCTTTTAACCTAGCAACATGTGAATATGTTTTAGTGTAATCAATATCTTCTTGCTTACTGAGTATAAACTTGAGTTATAAATCTATTAACATGTGAACATCTAATAATTTTTTTAAGAATTTTCTATAGCTTAAATCATGGTTTTTTTATGAGACAAAGAGAATAATAATGATTTCATTTATTAATTTTTACTCAAAATTTCTCGCTTATATTCTTAATTTTATAGACCAACCAAAAATAATTACTTATAATTTCTTTTTGACATAAAATATAAAATATATTTTTAATAGTGCATTTATTGAGTGTACTCGCTAAAAAAGTACAATGAGAATAACCTTGTATCCCTAGGATTGTCTGTGGTGTTTAGGGTATTTTGACTGTATTTAGGATTAACTCATGCAGAGAGGTGAGAAAATCTAAATATCATTTTCTGGGTGAAAGATTTGATCTCTCCCTTATTTAGAGAATCCCTTGTGCTTGGCTTTAGAGAGTCGTGAAGAGGTATTACTCCAAATTTCTCATTAGCGAGATATGTAATATAAATGACTCGTTTCCCCCTTAGTTATGAGGAGACAATTTTTTCTCACTAACAGGCATCTTTGACCAATTACTGCAAGGGCACATCACGACTGACGTTTAATAAATGGATGGATGATAAATACAATTCAGGTGACCCAAGCCCAATCTAAACGATATAAAATGTTTCTTTTGGACGACTAGCGACATTACTTCTAGATGACTTGCGTTCTTACTTCTGCAGCCTATGACGCTACTGAAATTCTCACCCCTCATTAGTGCATTTGATTTGTCTTACCCCTCATGTACCATCTTCTTCTAAGCCTAATATAATTATCCTAATGCTTAACTTTTTTAAACATATTCTCAGTTAATGTTATTTAGGGGTGTTCATCAATGCGAGTCGACCCGCAAACCCGCTGATCCAAATTGAACCAATCCATAAATTACCCGAACCCGTTCATTTACGAGTATACCCAACCTAATCCATAACAACCCGTATAGTTTTGGTTCGGGTATCGGGTTTGACCTGACGTGCTCGTTTGATTTTTTCCACTACTTTTTCTACCCAACCTAATCCATAAATCAAGCCTGTAAACATTAGTATTATTAATCTACGATTCACGTATTTTAACCTGACGTGCTTGTTTGATTTTTTCGACTATTTTTTCTATCGCATTTTCGATCAACTAATCCTTTTAACTAGCCAAAATTTATTTCAAAATTTGATCAAAAACTGTATGTTTTTGAGAAGTTTATTTACGTTGATCATTTTAGTGCATTCAATTTAATTTTTTGGGCACTTTTGTATCCGACTTTTATTCATCATTTAATCCATTTATTTCTATTTGTTTAGCCAAAATAGTATTTTGAATTAATTAGAATTATTCATTATTTAGTTTAGGTTTTAATTAAGAATATTTTTTGTTAATTTATTTACTAAGTAATTACTTTAGAAAAAACACACATAATAATGATAATTCCAAAACAAAGAAGTTGATAATTTGCATTGGATCCCTTTACACAACCACGGGAAAACTAGCAAAATATCCCTCCACTCACTTTTCTCTACACGTTAATAACGGAAAAAGGTGTCTTTTTAGGGATCACATAATTTTCTCTCATATATAGCTGGCATGAAATTGAGGGGACCAACCACTTCCTCTACTAAATACATTGTTTTTAAAAAAAGAAAAAAAATTCACACCATTAAAATGATCCCCACTCTCTCTTAGATGAACGACCCACCCACTAATTCTCTCTCAATTGCAAATAATTTTTTCGGTTATTTCTTCTTTTTTTCTAAAGACCCAACTCATTACTCTCTCAATATAATACTCCTCTTTCTCGCTGAAAAAGAAGAAACCCAGTTGTTAAACACTAATTTCTTCATTATTTTGAAAATCAAACCTCTTCTTCTTTGCATTACCACTATCCCCATGAGGGGTAATAAATTTACCGATTTCCTAACTAAAAAAATATCAACTATCTTTCAAAAAGAACAAAAACATGATAAAAATGAAAGGAAAAAAATATATGATCCTTATATTTGTGACTTAATAAGAGAGATGTGATGGGCTTGTGATGGACTCATTTGGACCTTGTGTATGACCTAAGCTTGACATGGAGGAGTATTATGGACTTGAAATCTTATGGACTCATGACACTACCCTAAAGGCAAAGGGACTTGTACTCATATTATTCATTGCTTAGCTTAGGACAATTTGCACACACATGGCTTTCTCTTGGGCTACCTTACAATGAGACCCTTTATTTCACGCATCTGTATCCCTTAATTTTTCATGTACCTCTCTCCCCTTTTGATGCACTTTCTTTATCTCTTGCTTTACTTTGGTTTGGTTTTGCTTGCTAACTATCCTTAGGGACTAGGATCAACCACACCATTTTCTTAATGAAAACCTTTGATCCAATGTCATGTGACATTTTCTCAATAAAACCCTTGATCCAACTTCAATTGGAATTTTCTCAATAAACTAAAAAATATGTTAAAATACGATTAGAATTCCACGCCAAGAGTCTTAAGTGATGGAGAAGGAGTGAGAATGAAGCTTTTCTACCCTTACTCTGAGTATTTTGGACACAAGACGTTTAACTTGGTTGTTTGAAATATTCATCTCTACCCATAGTCTTTAATGCAATTCAAATCAAGAACAATCTCTTCTCAAAACCCTAAAATCAACATCAACTCATAAAACTTTTTTTTTTTTTTTTGCGTTTTAGGGCATCATTCCGAAAATATTTTTTCAAGGTAAAATCAACCAACACACCTATTTTCTACTCGAACTACAGAGAACTGATTCCTCATTTCACAATGAGGATACGTAGGCACGACGACCCCAATCCTTGGCGAACACACTAATAAAAAATCTCCATTTTCCCCCTTTTGAGGTCTCCTTTCTTTTTCTCTTTTTAATCTTTTTATCCCTTGAAGAAAGCAAATAAACATGAGTTAACATTCAATCGCAATTCTAACTAAGAGGTTTCCGTTGAGTACATCTTACATGAGAGGTGATAATACCTCTCTCTTGCGTAATCGACTATCGAACCCGAATATGGTTGCGACGACCATTATTCCCTTTTTTTAAAGGTTTTATCGATAGTTTCCTTTTCCTACATTGGAATAAATAAAGTTCAGTGACGACTCTGTCCGAACTATTTTTCGACGACCATTGCGAAGAATTGTATTTTTCGAGGTACGACAAAGTGTTTCATCGAAATTGAGTGTTAAAAATTAGTATAATTGTATTGAATTGTGTCATAATTTTTTTAAACTGAAAAGGAAAATCATTAAATTTTTTTATATTTTAAAGACAACCCGCAAACTTAAAATAACACAACCCATAAATAATTGGATTGGTTCGAGTCGATTTTAAAAACGAAATCACAGGTTGAACAACCAATCCAACTCCTTAAAATTTAAACGGATTAAATAACAGATTATGTCAAATTCAGTCCAACCCAACACGGATCCACCCCTAAATTGTGTTATCCACCCCTAAATTGTTATTAATTTATCTTTAAATATTGAAAGCAAATATTACACTATATTTGTATACAAATAACAATTTAATCATATTGTTATATTGTTATATTATATTCTAATAAATATTTATATCTAAAGACAGATGGAGTAAAAAAAACCGCACCAAAACACTTCCGCATGCAACGCACATGCAATACATTGCAGAAACAGACAGATAGCCAGAGTGGAGTAAAGAAAGGTTTTCATTTCTCGGGCAACTACCAGTGAGTTCCATCCAGTAAGAAAAAAGGGTATTAACGTAATAACAAGTAACTAATCAACTATTACCGTCTTCCATGAGTTTCCCATTAAAGAAAATGATTGCGCCGACAAGGACAATTTGGGAATCACAATTTCACATACAAAAAAAGATCGGTTAACACGTCCCTTCACTTCGTGTTGAACCAACGTCGCTCACCTTACCTTACCATACTTGCAAACAAACACAACAACAAATAGCATAAGATATAAGCTACGGAACGAACGAAACAAACCACTATTAGTTATTTAATAATAACACACCACCATCTCTCTCATTCTTCTTCTTCATCTTCTTTCTCTCTCGTAAAGAATAAGAATAACAACCACTTCTTCATTATTCATTATGCCCAGTTCTTTTACATTTTGAACTGCAAATTGGAATTGAACCGAGTTGAAGCCAATTTTGTTTATTAAATAAATAAATAAATGACGTGGAAAAGTAGAGGTGAGTTTTCTTCTAGAAGTTTCGTATCGCAGAAATGGACGCTTTTTCTCTGTCTCGGTAGTTTCTGTGCTGGAATGCTCTTCACTAACAGGTTCGTTATCTCGTTCCATATTTTCTCTCTTTTTCTGTTGTTGAGATTTTCAAGTCGGTGATGTTAGATCTTTATGAGGCTTTTTGTGTTTGATTAATTTAATTAATTAGTGATTTTTAAGTGATTAATGGTTGATTAGTGAATATAGGAGAATTGGATTGAGATCTGGTGAATTGAATATGAATTATGCTAATTTTGGATTTATGTTGACTCTTTATATTCACAAGTCAACTCTGGTGTTTGATTGGTTTATCTACTACCTCTTTCTATGATCATTACTGTGTAATTATCAATTTAATGAGAAATTTAATTTCTGACTCAGTTCCTATTATTGTTTTTTTTTTTATTAATTTGTTCTTATGGTTAATTTCTGGTTTTCAAGTAAGAAGGGGAAATAATTACTGTTTATGTTAATTGGAACATACTTATATAACAGTTAAAAAACAATTTACTTGATATAACTCTTATAGAAAATTTTGTTTATCTGCTTATATATTTTCATTGTATTAGATAAGTGTTGAACATATTGTTTTGGCAACCAATTGGATAGTTATTGTGCTTATTGTTGTCAAAATCTCGATCTTAAAATTAAGAGTTTAGAATCTCACTTCTATTCTGAAGTATAGTCGTGTGTTCTAGCTAAATTGTGAAAAGAAAATCGTAAAAGACGAGAAGGATTGGCTGTTTTCTGACCACCACCATTAAAAGTCGAGAAGAATGATAAGATGCAAAGACACAGCATTTATGGTTCGACAGCCATGAATGCATGCCTTTTGAAATGATAAGTTTTAGATTTAGGGTTTAGAGAATAAACATGAATTTGTTTTAAATAATTGACTTATGATAAATCTAGTAATTGACCAAATATGTCCATATTGCCTAACAAATTTTCATGTGGTAGTAATAATGTATAAAAATTCAATCATACATGTCTAAAGAATACGAAAGAGAGTCACTTCCCCACAAATACTCTACCTACTAAAATGTATCATTAAAAATACTTTAAAAATTTGGTATTATATATATATATTTTAGAAGGATCTTACGATTTTTACTTCGATCTTATGTTTTACAATCTTGCTACGCTCTCTCAATCTTACAAAAATAATTGGGTAGGATCTTTCGATCTTAGCTATGATTTTATACCTCCCGATTTATGCAAGATCTCGATCTTGACATTGTGCTACTTTTTCTGATGAGAAATATTAATATCTAACAGGATATGGAGTATTCCAGAACAAAATGGACTTGCGAGACCAACAGCTGCAGAAACTGGTAAATTGGATGCAGTTACAGAGGGTTGTAATTCCAGAATTGTAAGCATACGTTTCATTTTCTTTACTTGATAAAGAAAGTATATGTTTTGTTTTATGTTTATATTCTGAATTTTCTATATTCTTTTCTTGTGTCTATTGGCCCCCAATTTAGTTGCAAGAGATGGAAATGAGGCATGAAAATAGAGATATGTATGGCGATGATTTCAAGGGGCATAATTCTGTACAGTAAGTTATATGAAGTTCTGTGCAATGATGTAAATGCAAGTCTAATTATTTTTGTTATTTTGTATGCCAAAGATGTGAATGTATTGTATTGAATGTAGAGCTTTGGATAAAACTATTTCAAGTTTAGAGATGGACTTGGCTACTGCAAGGGCTGTTCAAGAGTCGGTACGGAGTGGTGCTCCTGTTTCAGAAGATATAAGGACGAATGAGTCATCGGGTAAGAGAAAGTACCTTATGGTAGTAGGTATTAATACTGCATTTAGCAGCAGGAAAAGAAGGGACTCGGTTCGGGCTACCTGGTTGCCACAAGGTTCATAACTTGATCCTATTTTGTAATATCTTCAATGATTTTTATGCCGATGTAACTATTTTACTAGTTACAGTTTGTGATGATTTGTTCTTCTGATCACATGGAAAATAGGTGACAAAAGAAAGAAGCTAGAGGAAGAGAAAGGCATTGTCATTCGCTTTGTTATCGGACACAGGTAACTATCTCGTCTTTTTTCAATCATTTTGTTGCATGATATTTTCATTGATGAGAGTTATTGAGACAAATCATAATTTGATCGGTTTTCTCTTTTTGATGTAGTGCTACATCAGGAGGTATCTTAGACAGAGCTATTGAAGCAGAGGACAGAAAGCATGGAGATTTCTTGAGGCTGGTAATTTGACGTATTATACTTTTTGTTCCATTGCTTTTCCCCTCCCTCATTTCCCTTTTCTCATGTCTTACGTAACATCTTTTGTAAAATCTTGATAGTTTCATTGGTTTTAAAGCAAAATAAAAAAATGCGCTGAATTTCAGATGTGTATTTACTTTGTTTATGTAGAACCATGTTGAAGGATACCTTGAATTGTCTGCAAAGACAAAAACATACTTCGCCACTGCTGTGAGCTTATGGGATGCCGACTTCTATGTCAAAGTTGATGATGATGTTCATGTAAATATAGGTATTGACGTTTCTCTAACAGTATATACATAAGCATGACGAGTTGGAAATTTTTTATTAACAATGCTCCTTCATAATTATCTTAATATCCTACTCAATCTTTTTCAGCTACATTGGGAGAAACTCTAGTTAGACATCGATCCAAACAACGGATATACATTGGATGCATGAAATCTGGACCTGTCCTATCTCAAAAGTGAGAAATCCTTTCTTTTTTCTCTCTGTTTCTATTGAATGGAAGATTTCAGACTCTCTCACTTTATTTTCATACATGCTTATATTGTTGAACAGAGGGGTAAGGTACCATGAACCCGAGCATTGGAAGTTTGGCGAGTCCGGAAACAAGTATTTCCGCCATGCCACAGGGCAGTTGTATGCTATTTCAAACGATTTGGCAACATACATATCTAACAACCAGTAAGTTCTACTACATCAAAGAATAAATTATTAAACCACAACAAATCAATGTGCTAATCTTATGTTGTATATGCTATTACCAGGAATGTTCTTCACAAGTATGCCAATGAGGATGTGTCAATAGGAGCTTGGTTTATTGGACTTGATGTGGAGCATATCGATGATCGCAGACTTTGCTGTGGCACTCCTCCAGGTGAATACATTTTTCTGTTAACTTATAAAAAACAACTTATAGCTTATATAAAAACAGCTTATAGATTATAAGTTATTGGGTTTGCTTTGTGTTCAGATTGTGAATGGAAGGCGCAAGCAGGCAACATTTGTGTTGCTTCATTCGATTGGAGCTGCAGCGGTATATGTAGATCTGCCGACAGGATAAAAGAAGTACATAGAAGGTGCGGTGAAGGTGAAAATGCTTTGTGGAGTGCCTCTTTCTAGGAGGCAAGTTTTCCTAACTCAGGAAGATTATTACTACCACGGCAAAGGAATCAATTGAGCTTGCAAGATTTTTCTTTTTTCTTTTTTACATATTTTTGTCGAGTGTATATAGAATAATATGATATTATTATACACGAGAAATTAAGGTGGAGTAAGAGAGTGTGAAAGAGAGAATGCTTGCTCCGTGGATATTCTACATTTTAAGAAGAGATTGTCCATAGTTGCAGCTAGAAGAGGACACAGAAGATAATAAGTACACATTCATTCTTTGATGCTTGAAGGGCCATTCTGTTTGTTAATATATTTCCATGGCTATCAAGTTCCTAATAAATATAATTTGGTGGCTGTTGCTGCCTTTCCTTTTGCCTGTAATTCATTATTTATGTTTGGTTGAAATTTTGAAATGACTCTTAATTATCTTTTCTTACTGGACACTTCTTTTGCTTAAGCAATTCCACTTGGGGAAAATTGACAGACCTGACCCTACTTCTTAACCATTGTATCAATATTCAATCAAATGAACTCTAACTACATTCATATTATACCACTTATACAATGCGGATTTACTTTTAATTAATTTAGTGGAAAAATCACGTTTAGAATCAAAAACTACAAATCATAGTTTTAATAAAATTAATTTTGGAAAGGATAATCAATTTTATTTAAGAACATATCAAACATATCAAAATTAATTTTAATTGCTCTAAACGTGAAAAAAAATCAATTTTATTCGAGAACATATCAAAATCAATTTTGATTGCTCTAAAGGTGGAAAGGATAATCAATTTTATTCGAGAACATATTAAACATATCAAAATCAATTTTGATTGCTCTAAACGTGGAAAGGACAATCAATTTTATTCGAGAACATATTAAACATATCAAAATCAATTTTGATTGCTCTAAACGTGAAAAACCAAACATGTACTTGAATACAGACTTAAAAAGTACAACTATTTATCAAACCAAAAACCAGAAGTATGAGAAATGATGAGAAAAAGTTGCAACTTAAACCTTATCATAACAAGAAATAAGACAAAGGATATGATAACTAGAAGGTACAAAAATGGTAGTAATAGTAGAACTGTTTTCCATTTATTGTTTTTGGTATAAATTCATTGCAGCAAGAAGCAGAAAAAATGTTCAGAAGCCGTTATTAAAATAGTAACAATGCTGCTAGAGTATTGTACTCAAATTGTACTCAAAGTTTTGTTTTAGAATAGGAAAAAAAAACTATAATCATGACATATAAATATATCTTTTTAGCAAATTTCAGTTTTGTCCTACTCTGAAAAACTCATGCAACTCAGCAATTGCCAAATAGAGATATATTTAGATTTAAAAAGTAAAATATAAGTGATTATTTTCTTATATAAGCATAAACATGCTCATCAAACTCTGTTTATAATCATTGAAGCATGTTTTAAGTACTAGTTGTATTAGTGTATATAAAAACAGATATATGTATGATATTGAGATTCGTCTAAAGTTTTAATAGATACAATTATCTGCATATTAATCATTACAACACAAACGGAATTTTTATTTACTACAGGTTAATTGTGACAATTTTATGAGGTTTTGTTTTGTCACAGTTAAATTGTGACAAATTTGATTTCGGTGTGATAGTCTGCCTTTTACATTCTCAAAAACAAATTTATGTATAAAAGAACAAAGAATAATTCTTCAAGCTTCATGTAAAGAGAAAAAAAAAGATTAAGCACAAACAATGTCACAAAAATGCATCATATACTCTGTATCAAATTTTCATGCTCCTCACATATATTTTCTTAATTCATAAAAAATATACTAAGAAAAAAAAAGAGCAAAAAGATACTATATGTCATAAAGAATAGAAAGAAAGAAAAATAAAAGTTGCGAGAAGACTAATCTTACCTTCTTCGTTCAACCCAAAAATGCAAACAGAAGAATCACTTTTGACAATAAGCCTCAAGGGTGCAGAGAGGACTCGTGATATTGGCACGGCTCAATCAAAAAGCAAGGCTCGACATATTCGAACCTTACTTTCTTATTGAACCGGACCAATATCCCGTTGAACCTGTTCTCTCAACCCATTGCTACCGCGATTCGCCTCTAAAAAACATCAGTTGCATCCATCTATCTGCCATAACACAATAACAATCAAGTTAAGTTAAGCATAAAATAAACTTATTAGAATAGCTTCTTCATTTTTTCTTCTCATGCTAAAACTACTAGTATAATGTAACATTCACATATATAATAACCATTGAGTAGTGAGTGAGGAAGATGAATATAAGAGATCACAAAAATAATGGTAGTGTAGTGAAGAAAAAACATTAAAGAAGTGGCATTAAATTTTCAACCACCAAGTAACTGAGGAAGTTGGAATATTAATATAAAGAGGGTACAGGAATCGTGAAAAAAGCACAGAGGAGACAAATCTGTAGCCTTAAATGTGATGGCATTTATGGATTATGGTGTGAAACGATAGGGGATGTTGGTTTCTGTTCAATCAGCATTTATGTATCTAACAGTGACAAAAATAAATAAAACGAACCCTTTTCTTGCTTAATGGGTTATGTTTATAGAGGACTAGTATTAGCTTGTGATGAAAACATAGCATCATGATCAAAATCTCTGAGTTGGAATCCACTCCATTTCTTTTTCCCTCCATTTTCTCCATTACTATAATTTTTATGTATATAAAATTAATTAAATATTAATTATATGTCACATGTCTTGGAAATGTGTGTTATATACACACAAAACTATAGTAATGGAGAAAATGAAGGGACAAAGAAATGGAGTGGACCCAACCCAAAATCTCTGATGAGGCATTGGGTAGGTTCAGTGAATCACTAAGAATATGCAATTGATGTAAGTATTATCATGCCTATGATTTTTTTTGCTAGATATAAAAAAAGTTAAATGAATATTATTAAGGTATTTGGGTATGGAAACTAGTTGTATCGAAATAAGGTAAGGAGTTTAGGGTTATTTTTAGTTTCAAGTTTTCTTTTAGTAATGGGCTGTTACTTAAGAAAGAGATTTGGAGAAATTTAAAATTTAAGACATGATTAAATAGGTGTAAAAAGGTACACTAAATATAGGTTATTTGATTTTCTTCAAACACAATTAAACTAAGATAGTTGTTTTGCGTTTGAATTTCTTCAACACACTTAATATAAGATTGTCACGCATCACGCATCAGATATGATTTCTAATAAGTAAAACAAAAATTACCTACTCATAAATTTTTTAATTATATGCTAATGTTAACATTTTTATTTCATCAATCTTTTAACTTTTAAAATTTTCGTAACTCATCAAATAACTTTTTTCATACTTTATTAACTCATAAATATCTGTTAAGGTCGCTCATTTGTTATTTAATTAAAAATTAAATTAAAAATTAAATTAAAAATTAAGTACTATATAAATACACAATATATACACATTATTAGAAAATTTGATAAGGTAAGAAATTTATGGTTATATTTAGTTTGAAGTTTTCTTTTAGTTATTGGATATTAGCTAAGAAGTCTAGATACTTATACGATGATACAACACGAACATAGAAATATGGAGAATTTTAGAATTTAATATATGATCAAATTGGTGCAAAAAGCATCACTAAATATAGGTTAGTTGAGTTTTCTCAACAAGCTTAAATCAAAATTGGCACACAAATCATCATGCAACCTGGCTCTTGCTTGTCAAAGCAACATAGTCATGTTGTGTGTCAGTTATGATTTCTCAAAAATAAAACGAACTCATAAATTTTTCAATCTTATATGTCATTATTATCTTCTTTTTTTTACAAAATTTTGGAGACTGGCAAATCCAAACACTTGAAACATTGTTGATCTAGAATATAATCGGACCTCCACTATCCATTGATTCCTCTCAAGCTCACATCTTTTTTCCTAGAACTTCACCCCTCCTTGCTCAACCCAAACCAGCTCAAAACAAACCTAATAAATCTTTTGTGAAATCTCTTAAAAATGTTTGCAACATCCCAACAAGCCAATTGCCAATTCCATGTGTTAAGACTATCCATATCAATACTAGAAGAAGAATATCTAATTGGATTAGATTCACGTAAGCATAACCTACACTACAAGATTTTTTTGCCATAAGGTTCATCTTCTCTCACGGTGCTTCAACTTCGAGCAAAACTAACAACATTGATTATATATGAATTTAAATGCTAAGCATTATAACCTTTCACTGTTTAAATGCAGAATTTATTCAAAAGGGTGTTTCTTTTCATTAAGTGGTATGAATTTTTTTATAAATAGAGACACTTAAAAAATAGAAAAAACACACGAAAATACAAATATTCACATCCATTTTTCACCATTTCAATTATTTTAAAATCATCTTTTACTTCATTAATGCATGAGTGAAGTATATGAAACAATTTTCGGTAAACTATTATCAAAAGATAAGCTTAGTGTATTTGTGCAATTCACATTAAGGTATTCAAAGTATTCTGAAGAGAATTCGTCGTTAATCCTTATTGCATCCAAAATATAATAATTGATAGGGGCGAATTTAACCTAAAGGTTAGTGTGAAATTCACATGCTTTGAATTGTCAAGTGCAATCTTCATCAACACCTTCTTTGTTCAAGTGTTGCTACATATTTCCAACAACCAAAATATCCAACAATAAAGCTCAATTGCAAAGTGGGGCATCACCTCTCTAGGTAAGGGATTTTAGAATTTAAATTATCTAATTTAAAAGATGTTAGAAGGGTAAGATTCGTGCCTTCATGAAGCTTAAACTATGGAGTTATGATACTTTTTTCTTGGACTAGGAATTTTATCCCTAATAATGTTAACCACACTCCAATCCAAGTTTGGGTAAGGACTCATGGCTTATCCCAAAAATATTGGAGACTCAAAATTATACTTTTCATTACTATAAAATATATCTTTCGTAACACCAATTTTATAACGGTCATAGAGTTAATCGTGGTAATACTTTATTCAAGTGCAATCTTCATCAACACCT